AATGTAGTGAGAAAAAAAAATTAAGACACGAATAGATTGGTATGGAAGGTTTTGTACTGAAAATAAATTATTTTCCTTTTTTTAAAAAAATGAGTTGAATGAGAAACCATTTTCTTTCATATTTTTCCAGAACCAGAAATTTTAGAGAAATTCCTTATCTAGATAATATTTCTTGAAGAATTAAAAATCAGTTTTAAAAACAAGACTCTGTCAGTTACATCAGAAATTAATGGAAGTATGAAAATAATATATATAATTCTTGCATGAATAATAACTCACCCATTTAAAGGTTACAATTAATTAAAGGCCCAGCCACCAGACAATCAATTTCCACCTTCCAAATTGTCCCGTTCCCATTTTCCTTTTTCTAAATTTACGTGCTAACTAATTCATTTTGATTTTTGAAATAACTGTGCTGATAATATTTTATAAAATAGAGAGAAAATGAGAAGAAAGTAGAGAAGTCAATAGACATGTATATCATATTGAGCATCAAAGTCTCATATTTACAGGAAAAAATAGGGATACAATGATAATAAAAATTTGGACTGCAAATGTATAATTGTCATTGCACTAATAATTACATTATTTAAAACACTAAAATAATTATTGCATATGATCCCATTTAGTGCCTGTTTGATAGAATTTATTTGGGAATAATGAGTTATGAAATAATATTTTTTGAAGAATGTGTAGTTAAAAAGTAAGAAAATTTTATTGGTTTGTGTGTAGAATATTTTATTATATGGAAAATGCATGTGTACAGAAAAAATTTCACAGAATTCCACCAGATATGTCACGTGGACGTGAGTCCCATTGTCAATAAAATATTCCACCTGTGTCATGTGTGGTCTGCAAATTTGACAGAAAAATTTTTCTGTACACCAAGAATGATCCTTTATTATATGAATATGTTGTGGAAAAATAATACTATAACAAACAATTTAATTTTTTAAAGGATGATAAACATGGTCTTAATTGATTATGACCCATTATATATGGGTCTCAATTGGCAGAGAAATATTATTCCTTACACTAACAAATTTTTGATTTCTAGAAAAGTAACATTTCAAACCCAAGCATTCGCACTAATGATTAAATAATAAATAAAAATATTAAAAGCAGATTCTTAAATCGAAAAATACTAATTAAAAATAAAATATATAAAATTGTTGTTCATTCTTTTGTCATATACATTTGTATTTGTTTTAATGTATTAAACACGCTGCAAGAGTAAGCTAAGTTTATGGAGGAAAATTGAGGACATGTTACATCAATAATCTTGGGAACTTGATTGCACCATGGCAAAGCAAGATTTGATGTACACCGTTGCTTAAAACAAAAATCCATTTTTTTCTCTCCTTTAATTGTACGATCTTATCTAGAATTGCAGTATGAGTCGAGCAACATGCTATTCGTACAAGTCCTACACAATTTGTAAAGATCCTTAGGTCTCTTCAGACCCAAAAAATGTGATTTTTCGGGTTTTCTCTATTTCTGTGTAATTTATTGTAACTACATATACGTGTCTACTAATTTTCTGTTTAATCGATACTTCAAATTGATCGTAATAACAAAAATACTTTGTAATTTAAAGTTTGTCTAATTTTATTTGAAAGTGTAAAGTAAGTTGGATCAAGATAATGTTCGAAAATTTCGAGCTTTTCAATTCTTGCTTTCTTTTTCAATTTTCATTTAAGTTGTTACCGAATAATTAGACTAAGATGTCTATTTTTCGTTATGATTCACGTGGGTTGATGTGATGTAACGTGGGTTGATGTGATGTAGCCTATGATGAGCTAGACATCAACTCAATATTGTGTACACTTTATATGTTTTTAGAAGTCTATAATGTAGAAGTAGAAAGAGAGAGATAGATTTGATTGCTCGTATTTTGTTACATCAACATGCTGATATCCAAACAAACTTTAATTATTTTCCTAATCCATATTAATTCCTTTTTTTATAGTCAATCCTTGATTTTTAAACTCTTTGATTAATGAAATTTGGCAGTCCATTTCTTAATTTATTAATGAGAGATTTAATAACTTGAACTCCACGGCAAAATGATGTACGAGGGTCAAAAAATGAATAATAATAATAATAATGAAGGTCGCTAAACTTTGACCCTAGTTTCAATAGAATCATTGAACGTCAATTTGGAGCAATCAACGCACTAATCTTTAATTTAAAACCGATAAGGCAACTTGCTTACCAAAATTTGTTAATGTGTCCGTCAAAGCTAGCACAGTTTCACGATAGTCAGTATACTAATAATATTGGAGGTCGTTGAACTTTATCCCCAATTTCATTTAAGTCACTATACTTTCACCACCTAATTGCAATCGGTTCGCTAAACTTCGTGATGCAATCAAGTCATCATGAAATTCCAACTCAAAGGCTATGATATAATTTCTTAAATATTTACCATACCAAGAACTTTTTTTTAGCCTTACTTACTTCTTTTATTGAATATGCGCGTTTTGTAATAATTATTATAATATCATAGTTAATTTTACGATTGGTCGCTAAAGTTTGAGCACATTTCAAATTGATCCATAAAATATTTTTCCGGCTTACTTATTCATTGAAGTTAAAGTTTAGTGACCCGATTACAACTAGAACGAAAGTTCAATGACATTTGGAGCTATTAATTTGCTAATCGAGTCGAAATTTCGTTCGTATCAAAGATTAACAAATTAAAGAAGTTATTATGACCCATTCGTCCTATTAAGAAAGAGGTGTGTCCTTTCTCTCCATATATTAATTCGAATCAATACATATTTGAACAAATCTCTTTCGGCCGTCACTCAAGTCTTAGTGGGTTAGCTGGTAATCTGATCCTAATCCACCAAACTCATACTTAATTAACAAAACTAAGTACTAAACAAATTTAATATGAATCCCCTTTGTTTTAAAGTTTGCCTTTTAGTTTGAATGGAATCAAGCGGGGGTGTTAATGATAATAATAAAAATAATTGTACAAAAACCCACTTCTTGGATTTCAAACATACTAACAATTCAAAATATATGTTTACTAATTATAAATTCTGAATTTATTGAGAGTAAGATTTAATTTATTTTCATTTATTAAGCTATTTTCAATGTAATAGCACGGATCATTAGAAAGAGTCATCGAGTATTCGACTTGATGTATTACAATCTTTTGGTAATGGTGCATATTTTAATCAATAATAAGAAAAGGATATGATAAAACGTGAAAAATAATAAGTTTTCAAGAATATGGAGTATTACCAAATATGCCCCTATTGCTTCAGCCTTAGATATAGGGATTTCGAGAATACGCTTTAACGATCAATGGTTAACGTTAGCTCTTTAAGGAAACAAAAAAAAAAAAAAAGTACTCCGAGCCATGCACGGTGCACCAACCCTAATAGGTGCTCGCTGCCTATGCCAAATGATCTATCTTTGGTACTACCATCCTGGCTAGTATTGCCAATCTAAATGAATAGTCAAATCAAATTCCTCAAGACCAAGGTGCTCGCTGCCTATGCCAAATGATCTTTCTTTTGGTACTACCTTCTTGGCCACGGGTCTTTTAGAAAAGTAATTTTGAAATAAATTCTTTCGAATAAAGGATATATGAGGGTTATGATCATCCCGGAATTAAGATTTGTACCTTTTTTTTTTTGTTGATTTCAACTTTAAATAATTATAAGATAACAACTTTAACTTTGTCCATTATTTTATTTCTAATTAATTAATTATCTTTCACACGAGTCATATGACTCCATATAAGCTAAGTAGTTACACATTATAAGAACTCTAATTTGGTCTTATTATCTTAAATCCTAGATAATTAATTCTCATTCACACGTTCTAATTAATGATCCTGCGTACGACTCTTTCGGCCACCCTTTCTACGACTATTGACCTTTGATACATACATAATAGTAACGTTGGTCATCATTAGTTGCAAAACAACTTCATTAAATAATATATTTTTCCTTAAATTTTACCCTTTCCTCGAAATGATGCTCGGATTCAAATTATTGGCTTGATGATGCTTTGCTCTTGACATTTTAGCTAGGCCTCTCAATAATGAATTATGAGACTCATTTCGACTCAGTCCATGATTAGTTTTTGATTAAAAAAATTAATTTTTTAATAGATTTTAATAAAAAATGATGAAACAATTGAAAAATTATTGGATCTAGAAATGTGCGAGTAAAATTAATTATTGACTTTAACTTAAAATTTTATCAATTTTGTTATTTAAACCAAACATGGCTTACACCAATGAGATCACTAGGGCTGGCCATGATCCACTTGAGTTCGATTATAAGGAGAATCGAATCGAACCCGAATTTTCAGGTAACGATATACTTCCAATTCGATTTCTCTAAGCAAACACGGCACTACAATAGAATAAAAGATTTGAGGAAAATTTAGGTTAATTTGATCAATTATACTTGAGCTAGAAATTAGAAATATGAAAATCATATTTTGGGTTTGGGTTAAATTAATTAGTTAGCAAATTTATTTAGAAAAAAACAATATAATTTGGCTTATTTAAGAAAAAAATTAAGGATATTTGATTCTTGGGTTATTGGTCTAAAATCGATAATCGAACCAGACCATTTGATTCTCGATTCAGATACTTGTTCAGATATTTAACTTTAAAAAAATCGTTCGATTCGATTCAAGTCCGATTGTATCGGTTCGATTTGAGAGTTTTGTCAAATCCTAGAGGTCACCACCCCACTCCCCCTGCATATATTATATAACCCACCACCATCTCATACCCTCCATGAAAAAGCTTTCCTCATTTTACACGCACTAATAGCCTAAGGAACATCTTCGTCATAAATACATATATACGTAGCAAATTGGAGAAGGAAATGGGTTTTCCAGTTGTACACACTGATCTTTTTCTTCCAAAAGTGTTTGTTTTTGTTCTATCATTTCTGGGATTCATTCGTAAATTAATACGAGTAGTGTTTACTCTACTGGGTTTCGGTGAATTCCTGGACTCGGAAATGACGTTCCCGACCCGAACGGATTACGGGGTCGTATCCGCCGCGTTGATACTGGAGCTTCTGCCGGTAGTGAAGTTTTCTGATTTAGGTGAGTCTGAAATTACAGAGAATTGCGCGGTTTGTTTGTATGATTTTGAAGGTGATGATGAAATCCGACGGCTAACGAATTGCCGGCATATATTCCACCGGAGTTGCCTGGACCGTTGGATGGATCACGATCAGAAGACGTGCCCACTTTGCCGGACGCGGGTCTTTCCCGAGGATTTGCAGGATTCTTTGAATGAAAACTTGTGGGAGGCCGCTGGGATTTTTGATTACTACGGCGAGTAAATGAAATGGAAATTTACGGGGAAAGAAGAAAACATTGTAAAATTTTTTTAATAAATAAAAAATTGAAGTTCTAATAATATTTTGTACTATTAAAGCTAGAAATAATTAAATTATATAAATTTATGTAAATAATTTATTTTTTTATTGGTTTAGATACACATTTTGAATGAACGCTAATTTTAACTATGGTCGATTTTTAGGAATTTTAGCATCTTCAAATATTGTCTTTGGAAACTGTCATGGAGGTGGAGGTTCTCCAATCACGAAGGAGGTGTATGTGAAAAGGGTGAAACTCATTTTGTTTACGATCAACCATTAAAGGAAAGGCTAAATGAAGTGATGAAATTGTAGAATTTGTAAAACTCTAACTTAAAAAGCATTGGCACATACAACATGGCTAATTGCTTCTTGAGACATTTTATAATTTCGATATGTTGATATCCATTGATATATTTGAGTATGATACTAATTTTATCGCTTTTCAAAAATTATAAAAGTCTATCAATTAACATCAACTATCTAAATAGCAAGTAGAATATGCAGTTTTACAGACTTATGGGATCAATAAGAAAAACCCATAGTTTTTTCAAACAAAATTTCCAATTAATTGAGTAATTATTGATAAGAAAAGAAAAATATATTTAAGAACTTGTACTAATATTTTTCGAGGTAAAGGGCACAGGGCTTCACATCCGAAAGTCATTGTGGGTTGGATGCGTTTTTTGGGCCAAAGCCCAACTGTACAACTCAATTAACAATGAGGAAATTATACGGTTCCAGGCATTTAAAGTTCACCCTGCAAATGTCAGGTGCCAAAGTTTTTTAATCACAATTCAAGTAATTAAAAATTTAAAACCCTAATTTTCCATTTTTCCCCTTCTCCCGTTTCTCTCGCCTCTCTCTCCTTCATCTCATCGCTCCCATCTCCCTTCTCGCGATCACCTTCCCTTCTCTCTAAAATCAGTCCTCCTGGAAGAGAATCTCTGGCTTTGTTCGGCGGCACGAAAGATCGAAGGCCTTGGCGGACAAAATTGCTTTTGGAAGCTGCATCTGAGGGTTTGCCGATAGTGCTGATTTATCTAGGAGTCATATATGGTCATGGCAAAGTGATGGAGATTTTCTTGGTGTTGTGGGCAGCGGTGGCAACGGGTTTTGTTGGTGGTGTGTTTGGCATTGACGGGGGTGGAGGTGGAGGTGGAGGTGGAGGTGGTGGCGGGTGATTTCGCTGCCAACCATTTTGTTATCTATGACCTAAAAATTATATAATATGTGACCGATAAAAAATCTGTGACACACTAATTTTGAAATATATGGTCCTGTGACCTATAAATTTTGAAATCTGTGACCAACGAGTTAATTGTAACCTACAAAATTTTTGAGTTGTGACCATAAAATAATCTGTGACGTATAAAATTATTATTTGTAACTGAAAAATAATATGTGACTAATTAAATTATAAATCTGTGACCGAAATGATTGCTGGAATAGTAGTCAGAATGGTCGTGGGAATCGGAGCAGTAGCCAGAATAGTCGTCGGAGAAGAGTGGTTGTCGAAATGGTCACCGAAATAGTCACTGGAGCAATATGGGTGGTACATGTGGGGTGGGTTAATTATATTATATTATATTAGAATTAAATATTTAATCATAAATGAATTTAATAACTTATATTTCATAAATTAAAAAAAAAAAAAAACCTGATTTTTTAATTGATATAAGCTAAACACCTCATTTATGATTTTTTTTTTTCCCCATTAATAATGGGATATTAGCCCATCGCAACCAGTGCAAAAGGAGATAAAAATATAAAATACAAGCTCTGTCCCACATCGAAAGAATGACATAAAATTATCTGATTTTTATAAGCAAACACCGAAACTTACTGTGATCGACCTTCCTTGATTGTAACAGAAGGGAGACAAGTGTGAAAATTGTAGTCTTTTCCTTCTTAATTTTAATTTTTAATTTTTATATTGTTAATTTCAAATTTTCATTTTTTATCACATAAAAAAGAAGATTTATTATTATTTTTAAAGAATAAATGAGTTGTTCTTAACAAATTGAAAAAATAATAATATAGCCAGCTAGTTTTCTCCATTTTTCCTTCCAACTTTAGACCGTAATTTCTCATTCACCTGAAATTGGTTTAAAATTTCTAAATATATATAAGTTAATTATTGAATACGATCGAAATTACTAAACTAATTGGTGAACACGATATCTTGAAGCATTCAACCGTTCGTATAAATCAAAACAACTATACCAACTTCATAACTCATTAACCCTTCTTTCATCTTCACCTTTCAGTAATGTCAATCTCGAGAATCTATCATTATCCCGTTTGGGAAATGAGGAGTACTCTGTGAAGAAAGAGGGGGTACATAATCCCTTTGGTGGACAATTTTGGAAATTCAATTATGGCTCCAAGTTAATTATAGTAGTAATTCTTGTGATGGGATTGGCTTGTCTGGAACCATTCGGTCGAGTTATGCATGTTCTTTTTTATGTCCCAATTGAATTGACGGATTTTTTTATTTAATTATTTATTACCGAATCGTTATAGAATCAGAAAGGAGAAACAAATTTCGTAAGGCCATCTCAAAATGTGCACCAAGCTTTGCACTATTTCGCACCAAAATGGTTGAGTATAATTTTGCCGTTCATTTTATAAAAAAAAATTGGTTAAGCGTATTTGTGTCCATTTTTGTTATAGATTTTTTAATACAATAAATTATTATTTATTATTATTATTATTATCATTGTAATAAAATTCAATATTGTAATCAATAATAGTTAATGCGTTAATTAAAAGAATAATAATTTTTTTGGAAGATTAATAACATGATGATTTGAAGTTAATAGGAAATCAAGGATTAATAAGCTCACATTGCACTTGGAAATGCGTTAATTTGGGAGATTAACAAATACAATTATCTGAAGTTAACACGAAACACGTTAATTTGGGAGATTAACAAACACGATTATTTGAAGTTAGCACAAAATGAAGGATAAATAGACTCACACTGCACTTCAAAACGCATTAATTAATCATTTGTGGGATGAATAAATGAATTTCGAGAATTAAATTGCAATATTATTTCGACTTCGTAATATCGTGATACTGGGATTCGAAACGTACGCATTGCACTATTTTTTAATAACACGGTTTAATATTTCCTTATTTGTGGTGTGTTTCCATTAATTTTACTATATTTTTTAAATTTTTAATGAATTTAATATTTTGGCTAATATATTGCAATTATTTATTTAGTAATTTATGTAATTGTAAAATAAATAAATATATAATTTTTTTCAAATAAATAAATTGTTATGAATTAAAATAAAAATGATTAAGTACTATTTATTTGGTGTAAGTTTTGATAAAATGAATTAGAGATGATTTTTAATTTAGTGCAAAACGGTACAAATCTTACCCCAAAATTAGGTTGAAGACGGTCTAACAAACCAATGAACCATATTACACCTCCAAGAAAGTAAATGCAGATAGCAGAATGGGGCCCTTCTTTTACCCTCATCGATTCGATATTGTTGTGAGGTGACAATTTTTATACATGCATTTTAACAACACTTTAAACAATCAATGACAATGATTTCGACACATCTTGAAATGTCCGAATGATGTACACAAAGAGTGTACAAGTCGTTCAAGGACCCGTTTGACATGATTTTTAAAAAGTCAAAATGAGCTTTTGAAATTCAAAAGTTGCTTTTGGACCCGTTTGACTAATTTTATAAAAATATTTTTGGTAGTTGAAAAGTTTTTAGAGGAAATTGGTTTAATGTAACTTTATCTAGAAGTACTTTCGGAATAGAAAGTGCTTTTAAATTTAATTTTCAAACAAAAATTAAGGAGATTTTCTTCAAAAACTTTTATACAAGAAGTAAAAGCAGAAATAAAATTATGCCAAACAGGCTCTAATTCATTTGAAATCAAAGCAGAAACAAAATTTATGCCAAACGTGCCCTAAATCATTAGAAATCCCTTTCCTATCGTACGCTCCAGCTGGATGGAAGAAAGAGCGTACTTGAAACCAAATTCAATTTTCACATAAAAATTTTCTTCTCAGTTACGGGCTCATATAATCTACGCGCCACTGTACAAACGAAACAAAGTAGGCAGTGTTTGGGAAATGCTAAACCCTGATTTAATAAAAAAAATCGAATTCGGATTACTTAATTCTCGTATAATCGCATAGAGCACATAGTAACATTCATTAGCAACTAATTGAATTTTTTAGAAATAAAAACTTAATTTAAATTTAATCTGATTATTTTTTTAGAACTACCAGACAAACAGAGCCCTAAAATGAGGGAGTACTTTTACTTTGCCAGGATAAGACCCGACAGCTGTTGTACTTCGTGTGTGTGTTCTTTAGTCCTAGTTTTACCGATTACTTCTTCTCATCATACGGTTCGGCTCGGCTTGGCGCGAGCTTAAAGTTGAATATTGTAAATTAACCTCTTGTCCGAGTATTACATAAACTGCTAATTTTAAAATGTCAGTATAATCAGTCACTAATAATAAAAAGAGTCTTGCTGGGTATATCACCCCTTACACAAGGGGTGACATAATGCACAAGTGGCGCCTCCTCATTGGAGGGGCGTCTCAGCCCCACATGTGGGCCTCGGCGCCCCTCCAATGAGGAGGCACCACTTGTGCATTATGTCACCCCTTGTGTAAGGGGTGATGTACAAGTACCACAATTCTAATAAAAATAGTGTATTTCAAAGTTTATAAGTCATGGTTCTCAAAGAATAAGTGTTTAAAAAGTAACTGAAAGTTAAAAGTCCTATGAAATATGTGGATAAAAATAGAGTTTGATTAATTTGTAAGTAATTATATACTTTGACATACACGTCAATTGGAGCGGAGCCAGAAAAATTGTTCAACGTGGACACAATTTAATCAACTTCTTAAACTACTCAAGTATGGCAGAATCACGCGAGAAAAGTACACTTTGATACACATCCCATCAATTG